CTGGAGAGGGATATCATGCTTGGGAGGGTGGAGGGACAGTGCAGGAGAGGAAGGCCCTCTATGAGGTGGATTGATTTAGTGACTGGGATAATTGGGATGGGAGTGTCAGAGGCAGTGCAATTGGCACAGGACAGAGCGGAGTTTAGGGCTGTTGTACATAGGGTCTCTATGAGTGCAAGCGACTCGACGGCACATAACAACAACAACAACAATGAAAGTTAAATATATTTCTAACTCAGATCATATATTTTAGTTGGATTTATTGTCATTTTTACCTGCTGGGATACTAGAATGGGATATTTTGAAACTATGCAACAACTAGTCATTTTGCGTTTCAATTTTGCTTTCCTATTTGTCAACCCTCACTTTCAGTTAACTCCATTTCTCTAATACTTTTTTTCCTATCTGATATGTGAGTTTCTATACGCTATTTCAGCAGAGATGTATTTTGTGTTTTGTGGACTGCCCAAAGAACAATTAACTCTGTCTGGGAGGAAGTGAACCCAGGGCTCTCCTTAGAGGCAAGGAGATTGAAACTTTGACTCTCATATTTGAGCGTGTTGTCAAGAGGGGCCAGCCTTTGAAAAAGACATTGTGCTGAGAGAGGTGGAAGGAAGGTCAGAGATAAAGTAGGAAGACTCTCAACAAGATTGATTGACACAGTGACTGCAACAATGGGCTGGCATAAGGTGGAAATCAGGAGGATGGTGCAGACAGCGCAAGGTCCAGAGCTCTTGTTCATAGAGTAGCTGTGGGTATAGTAGGGAATGCAAACGAACCTAGTAACAGCAAATACCACTAGAAATAGGGAGAATCCTTAATTGTGGTCATGTGAAACCTATACAAAGACAAAGAAGGAACTATTTGAGTAAAACAAATGAATATTTTGTGATGGGGGTGGCAGGAAACCTCACAATATAATTTTATCCAATTCCCAGATAAACTGATCATATTTTCAATAGTTTTTGTTTGAAAAAGATCAGCTATTGAACTTGATACTCACTAATGTGATATGTTTTTTCTCAAGGAGTACTTACTACCATTTCTTTTGTAACCCTTTTTCTTTAATTAAAAGAAAGCCCTTGCTGGGATCAGCCACATCGCTCTAAGTTGTTTCTCCTTTGCAGTGTGGAGACGATCAATGATGGGAACTTCCATATCGTGGAACTGCTTGCCCTGGATCAGAGCCTCTCCCTTTCCGTGGATGGAGGGATCCCCAAAGTCATCAGCAACTTGTCCAAGCAGTCCACTCTGAATTTAGACTCCCCACTCTATGTAGGAGGTAAGAGCGCTTCCAAATTCTGGTGAGTCCCCAGCTCCTATGTTACCATCCCAGGCTAATTCTAAAGATGCTGTCCCTAGTGCCATGGTCATTAACTAATATGGTCAATCATCTTCAAGATAGACAAAGAACAAGAGGCCCACATTATTGTTGTGAGCTCAGTGCTGGGTCTAAATAAATATTTAGTTAGAGTAGAGAAGGGTGTTTATGATATCTTTCTGTCTCTTTTGTGCTTTGTTACACATTTGAATCTGAGCCTAATTGAATCATGTAACAACAATTGTATCAAGATGGTTTATACATTTTATCATATCATCTTATTCTTTGACACTAATTATAGAAACAAATGAATATTGGTTAGAGGTCAAATCAGACCATTAAGAAAGTAATGAAGCAAATATGGTGCCAACTGGGGAGTATGTGTCTCACTAGGGAGCCCCCATGTCCTAGTTGGGTAAAGAGTTGCATTGTCAATTCAAAGGTGTCTGGTTTGAATCTACCAGCTGCTCCAAAGGAGAAAGATGGGCATTCTCCTCCCGTGCAGTTGGTGGCCTCTGAAAACTCACTGAAGGGTCAGCTATAAGGTGGTTCGACTCACTGGCACATAACAACCACCAGGCACCTCCTGGGAGCTGCTGTCGAAAGTCCCCATGCTGGAATTGCTGCTGTAGGGTATAAACTGCTCATGGATTTGATAGACTAATCTTCAGGGAAACAGCATGAAGGAATGAGTGAACTAATTTATGTCCAAAACGACTTGGAGTTGTTCTATTTTACTGAAGACTCTGAGTACAAAACAAGAAAATTGAAAAGGAATAGAGTGACTTTACTTTTAAGAAAGAAGAAAGTTGAAAAGTCAACAGGTGAAGGACCGAGGTGTAAGAATAGTTCTGTGAGATCCCAGAAGAGAGAGGCCACAAAGAGAAGAGCCAGTCGAGCAGTATCTCTTGCCTCTGTCTGGAAGAGTAAATAGAAACTGGAGACATAAACTTCCAAAAAATTAAGTCCAAGATTCCAGGACACACCTCCCCGCTGAATTAAGTGAGAGGCATTGCACGGAATGGAGTGGAATCTAAAACCCAAAAGGGGTACGTACCCTGAAGCTGATTTCTTCACCACCACAGATTTTTACATGAAGTCTTCATTATTCCCTTCAAAGCCGTAACCCTGGAATGCTACTTCAAAGACTTTACTGGAGGATGGTTTGAAATTATCCAGAAAATTCACAATACTGCTTTATAAAAAAAAAAAAAAGGCAAACCAAACAAACTTTGACAGTAGATAGTCATAACCCCTTATGCTGGTGGTGGTGTTATGTGCTGTCGAGTCACCTGTAACTCATAGCAACCCCTATGTACAACAGGCCTGAACCCCGCCCTGTCCAGAGCCAGTCTTATAGTCTCAGACAGACCCAATCTCACATCTCCAGTCACTGAGTTAATCCATCTCATCCAGGGGTTTCCACCCTTGTGGAGGCGTCGTCCCTCCACCCTTCCAAGCAGGATGTTCTTCTCCAAGGACTGGTCCCTCCTGGCCACGTGCCCGAAGTATGTGAGACAGAGCTTCCAAAGCCTTGCCTCCAGGGAGCAGCTGGGTTTCATCCTCTCCAGCTTTGCTATTTTTTGGAAACAGTCAAATGTCTTTTGTTTGAGTAAATATTTCTTGAGCTCCCACCACATACTACAGCAATGGACTCAAGTGTATCAGAGATTATGAAGAAGGCACAGGATAGGACATGGTTCAGGTCTTTTGTTTATAGGGTCACAATGAGTCATACTCGACTCGACGGCACCTAACAACAACAGCAATCATCATAATGAGAATTTTTTTGTTTTGTTTTTAATTTTATTTTATTAATTTTAATGAACATTTACAGAGGTTTTAGTTTTCCATTCATTCATTGTAGCATCTCTCTCCCTGCCCACCCCTCCCCTCGAGTTCGCAGAATGAAGGTTGCATAGTGGAGTGTACTCAGGGCAGGGGGCAGGGTGGGGGGACGGGGGGGATTGTATACCAATGAAGGAATTTTTCTTTTTTCATAATGAGAATTTAGTTGATGGATACAAAAACAATACAAAAGTGAGAAAAGAAAAGAAAAATAATATTCCCATTCTGTCCCCAGTATAGTGAGGAAAGCAGACATATTGCCAAGTAGTTTTCTCACTGCCATCACATAGATATGGGGTAATAGCAACCCTTCATCATGTCACCCAGGCTCTAAATTTTAGCAGGAGCCTTCCTGTCAAGTAGCAGATGGTGGATTCGAACCTCCAGAGATGTGCATCTTTTTCATTAACAGCTTAACATGCTACAGACCATGCCACAAGAACAGCCCCTGTAACTACAAAACAAACTCACAAAAGTATCCCCTACCGAGTCTGCTCTTAATGTGGCAGACCACTGTGTCAAGTAAGTCCCAACTACGCGACTCTTTAAGAAGAAAACAGAACCTTTCTGCACTGGCCAGGACTGCAGATCACTGCTTATGCTTTGGATTTGGAGAAAGAAATCATGCACGTGTCTTATTTCAGGGGGAAGAAGTGATCTTTTCCGAACACGTGCTGTGTTCCAAATTCAACCTTCCTTTTTGCAACCTTAATCCTCAGAAAATCTTGGAAGTAGGCATACTGTTCTCTATTTTATCGACCCCGAGGAACAGCCTTTGCAGTTCCTTACAACAGGTTCCAGTTCACAAAGCTACTAAGTGACAGACCACCCATCTGAGTCCAGACACGTCTGACTCTGAAGCCTTCTGCTCTGCCCTGCACCTTCCTGTTTAACAGACGGCAGGAATGACAGCCATCGGGACTTCTGCGGCTTCTTCCATCTGTGAATGTCCAGACTTTCCCATCCTTTGATTTTATTCTGCTTTCATTAGATGCCACGTCATTAAATTTAATAAATGCCACATCGTTAAATTTTATAAAGTCGCAATGAATGTGATGAGTAAGAAAATCCAAAGCCAGGAAGAGAGAGAGAGAGAGAAAGAGAGGAAAAAGAACGATTTGTTGTTATGTACAATCAAGTCACGTATGACTCATAGCGACCCTGTGAACAACAGGTCGGAACCCTGTCCTGTTCTGTGCCATCCTCACAACCTCGGACACACTTGGAAAAATGAGAAAGATAAATAAATAAGAGAATGTTTGAGGTAGAATATTATTTTTTAAGGAAATACTGTTTTTAAAAATAAAGGGAAAAAATATTTTAAATCATAAAACTCAAAGAGATAGTCTTTCTGAAAAGAGAGCCCCAGGGAGAATCCACTAAATCTGGCATGAAGCTGCCTCCCTCCCAGCCCCACCATGGAGTGGATACTGCACTTCCTTCCTTTCATTCCTGAGAGTCCTCCCCAAGGGGCCTGAGACTGAAGAATAAAGGAAAACCTTACGTCTCCGGCTGTGCATACTGTTCAGCGAGGGCCTGAGAACCTGACGTAGCAAAGGCTGTTAAACAGCTTCGGAAGCAGACATCCCCAATGAGGGCAGCAGGACACCCTGCTTTCCATGCCTTAGAGAAACATGCTCTGGAGAAATCTGATTTACCTTGCGGATGCCAAGCATCTGTGGTAGAGGCTTCATTGAGGTGGGTTTAAGCTGTATGCTGTTCCATGTCATAGCACAGTTTTAATTGCTGAGTCAAGCTGTTGAGTCAGTTCCTAACTCATGGCCGCCCCATGCACAATGCAGCAGGTATGATACTTCCTGGACCTGCCCCATTCTGAGGATGGCTTGTAGATCAGATGACTGTCATCCATAGGGTCCGCAAGTCCTCCTGATTGCACACAGATTACCAGATCATTCCTCCAGTTCACTCTGCGTTAGGTGCTGTCAGAGCGACTCTCTGGACAAGAGATCTGAAGCCTGCCCTAGCCTGCTCTATTCTCGTGAATGGATCTCTGTCACGCTCAAGGCCACTGGTAGTCATGGTGTCAGCCTGTCTCGTTGAGGGTCTTTCTCTCTTTTGCTGACCCCTCTGTCTTTCCCAGTATGGTGTCTTTATCCAACAACTGGCCCCTCCTGAAAACACAACCAAAGGATGTGAGTGGAAGCTCCGGTTTCTGTGTCTCTAAAGAACACTCTGGTTGTACTTCCTCCAGGACAGATTGGTTTGTTGATTTCACAGTCACTATAGTCAGTACTCGTCACCAACACCACAATTCAAAGACATTAGTTCTTCTTGGGTCTTCTTTATTCACTGTCCAACTCTTGCGATGCATGACTTAATACTAGAAGTCTGGAGTTGTGGGGAAGGTTAGACCTGCCATGGAGATCCCTGCCTGTGTACCGCTGTCTAAGACTTTAGTCTTGGTGCCTGGTCCCTTTGTTTGTAACTTAAAACTCCTTGGTTTTTCTTCAAGCCAAAACTGGCTTGCTATATTATCAGTAGATTGGTGAATTGTCTGGATTCCAGTTGTCTATAGCATGGAAGAAAGCCTAATTTTAAAAAAGAAAAAAAGATCAAGATCTCATTTTCACTTAAAACTTAGTCCTTTAGTCAGGAAGGTACCAAGCACCTAAAAGCATGGCCAGAGAGGACATCTTGATATCCTAGACAAAGTCAAGTATGTATGTGATATTTCTCATACAAATGGATGGATCTGAACATGGTGGGGTTAGTGTGGATTGCACAGGATAGGGCAAGGTTTTGAGCTTTTTTGAGCTTTGTTCATAGGGTCACTATGAGTCATGGCCCAGTAGCCCTAGCAGCAAAGATCAAAACTGACCCTTTTCTAATCATTGGCTTTGAAAAGAAAAAGGATACTTTTATTAATTATTTCTTCCTCCTTTTAGTAGGTCTGTCATTTTGTGCTTAGTCTTAACACGTGAACATATATGTGTGGGACTTTTAACAGAATGAGTTAAGAAATGAAAGAAGTTCATGTTTAACCCCTGAAGAAAGTCTCATAAACACACATGTATTGAAGTCTGCAAGATTATGATGGATGGCTAAGACTGAACTGGAAATGCTGTCCCAGAGCAAGAAATTTCCTATTATTCTTCTCTGGTGGCCTAGTGGGAAGGAGGTATGCTCCCAGCCCAAAGGCAGGTTATTCAAATCCCCCAGCTGCTCACCAGGAGAAAGTGGACCGTCTCCTCTCACAGGATTTACAGCCTCTAAAAGTGGCTGGAGGGTCACCAATGGTTCCTACTCAACAGCAAATAATAACAACAATCTCTCCCAGGAGCTCTGGTGGCCGAGTGGGAAAAGAGTTGGACTGCCAGCCCAAAGACTTGAGGTTTAAATCCACCAGATGCTTTGAAGGAGGAAAGATGGGCTATCTCCTCTCATATGATTTACAGCTTCTGAAAACCCACTGGAAGGGCAGCTCTGAACTATTGAGTGCTGACCCAACAACAATGAATTCGAAGGTTTATATGTTCATCTTTTTCTGGAAACAGTACCTCTCAGCCTTTTGAGCCTGTGTTTGCTGTTAGGTGCTATAGAGCTGACTATGACTCTTAGAGACTCTGAACAACAGCTCATGGTAATCAAGTCACCAAGGCCAGAGACACAGTGGAAAGTCTAGACTCAGAGAACCTGGAAGCCAGTAAACCATGCAGACACCAAGTATGGTACTGTGTCCCATCTGCCCCTTTTATAGCTGAGAAAATGCGTCCCCAGGGAGATGAAAGAGCTTGGAGAAGCATGTGAGAACCCTCAGTAGAGGCTCAGTCTGCCTGCTAGTTCAGTAGTTACTGTACATCTTGCTGTCTGTTGATGTTGCAACAGGGAAAAGGTGCCAGGTAGGTTTGCTAAGTTTAGGGGTGCCCCAACACCACCTAAGGACAGGGCTTAAAAAAATAAGGCTCCTTTGAGTGGGAGGGAACTCTGATGGGTTAGCCTGTAGGGATTCACACTGCAAATGGAAAGGGAGAAAGATATTCTCCTTCACTGCGTTTTATAGCCTTGGAATGCCCAGGAGGGTTCAGTCATGTGTCTGCTGTGGTTCAAGGGCAATAAGTGTGAGGTTTCTTGAGTCCTTTGAATTGGAGAGGAAGCAGTGACGTCTGGCAGGGTCCTACCCAGAGTCATGGGCTTTGAACTTTATACTAAACCCTTAGAGACTGAGTGGAGTTCAGAGCCCAGGCACAGTGGACATTGCTGGGACCAGGGAAGACAGCTTCTCTGGGCTTTCTGGTTTCTCTTTCTCCACCACCCCACCCCACCCCACCCCCACCCCCTTGACCTGGTAGTTGCCTTGACTGTGCTACATTCCAGGAGCTATTTCAGGGTCTGGCTAAGCCCATGGAAAGATTCCTCTGTTTTGCCAAAGTAAGAGTTACCAGATGACTGTCAGTGGTAGAATGCATATGCACAGACTGCAGATTGCTATTGGGAGGGATTTCACACACACACACACACACACACACACACACACACACACACTCCCTGACCCTGATTTCTTGGAAGATGGAAGCTTCATTCTCAATTAGTGAGGAAAAAAAATAGGGTGTGAAGGAGGTTCTGTCCAGATAGGAAGCCGAGGTGTGTTTTCCAGAGTTCACTCAGAACTGTGGCCTAGCCGGCTGTTGTTAGTGATGGCCAGGTATTTGACTGGGTTAGAATTCAGTAGGGCAGTCGCCTCACTGCAGACCCCTTCCTCCCCACCTCCTGCCACTGTGGTCAGAGCCTCACCGCAGTGATGGAGGACGGCCATGCTATCAGCATAATCCCAGCTCCATTTTCGAGGTGACACTGAACATATTTTGCCTGAGCTCTCCAGACTCGACTCTGAGCCCTTCATCTTTCAGATAATGGATACGATTGGGTCAAGGCATCATGACCTGTGCCTATGCCATGGACTGGCAAAAGGGCAAAGAGATCTGACTTGAAAGAAGTTCGTCCAGGGTCTCCTCAGAGCCAAGGACAGTGAGACTCCATCCACATAATTTGGGCATGTTATCAGCAGTGGCCAATCCCTGGAGAAGGACACGATGGGTGGAGTAGTGGTGGTTGTTAGATGCTGTCAGTGGAGTACCGCTCATGGGAACCATGTGAACAAGAGATCTGAATCCTGTGTCTTCCTCACCATCTCTATACACTTGAGGCCACTGCTGCAATCACTGTGACACTCCATGTCAGTGGGGGGTCTTCCTCTATTTCACTGATACTCTATGCTTACAAGCATGAGATAGAGATATAGATGATAGAGATAGAGACAGAGACAGAGATAGAGATAGAGTTAGAGATAGAGATAGAGACAGAGATAGAGATAGAGACAGAAACAGAGATAGAAATAGATACAGAGACAGACAGAGATAGAGCTAGACAGAGACAGAGATAGAGATAAAGACAGAGACAGAGACAGAGATAGATAGAGATAGAGACAGAGGCTGAGATAGAGATAGACAGAGATAAAGATAGAGTTAGAGATAGACATAGAGACAGAGACTTTGATAGAGACAGAGACTTTGATAGAGACAGAGACAGTTAGAGATAGAGACAGAGATAGAGGATGGCTGGATGGCTAGATAGATGAAAGAAAGCAAGGAAGGAAGGAAGGAAGAGAAAGAAAGAATAGACTCTCCTAGCAACATACCCATGCTACTAGCCTCTCCTAGCAACACGGAAAACTGGTAGGTCTTTAAGAAATCAGGAAGACTTGACACACACAAGTTGCCACAGCACATGCACCAGTAGATTAAACACAGTGGAGGTTGTGAGGAGGGGCAGAGCTGATGTGCATAGGGTCACTGTGATTCAGAGTTGAATCGACAGTACCGCACAACAGCTATGAACCCATGCTCCATGGTGCTCTGGCTTTCGGGATGTGTAACCAGGTTGAGAAGGATGTAGGGAGTAAAGCCTACTACCCTGGTTGCCTAGTGGTGAAGAGTTGCACTGTCAACCCCTAGGCAGGTGGTTCAAATATACCAGTTGCTGTGTGGGAGACAGGTGGGCGATGTCCTCACATATGATAAACTGCCTCTGAAAGCCTGCTGGGGGGTCATCAATGAGTCGGTTCTAACTTGATGGTATGTAACGACCACAGAGCATGCTAATAATAGCTTCTTCCCATTTATCCTTTAAAATGTAAGGTCTTGTGTTAGGTTCTGTATACGCGTGCTTCTGCATAAGATTTTTTTTTAAAGAACACATCCTGACAAATGAATGGATAAAGAAGCTGTGGTATAGTCACACAACGGAATACCACGCTGTTGAAAAACAAGGAAATAATGAAATATTATGCAAAATGGATGACCCTGGAGGACACTATGTGGAGTGAAATGTCTCAGACACAAAAGGACAAATATTGCATAGGAACACTTTGTAAAATGGGACTGACATCAGAGTTGAGGGAAGACAGAAAATGAAAGGAGGAATGATGTGTGCTGCATTGAAGCAGATGAGGGAAAGAACTGTTTAGAAGGGACATATGAGTGGGTATTCTTGTCATTACAGAAGTCGTGAGTGAAGGCTGCATAGTGGAGTGGACTTGGGGGAGGGATTGCACAACAATGAAAGAGTTTTTCATTTTCTTTTTCAAGGAGAGGGGTGAATTGGGGGAAGGGAATGGGTGGGGAGGAAGAGTGCAACCATGAATGACTGGAAACCCTAAGTCTCTCTAAACTTTCATTAAAATTAATTTTAAAAATATAGAAGGTCATAAAGCACTTTAAAAAATGATGAACAGTGATATGAACTCTATTTGGTGTACTGGTTGTGCAAAATAATTTCTTTAGGGTATCCCCAAAAACATAATGCATCTCTTCCTCCCAGGCTTATTACCCTGTCCAGATAGTCTGCAGGTAGGTCTATAGTGGTGTACCCCATCTTGGTGCTTTTAGAAATACTCCCAAGTTACTGTAATATGATGTGATCTGGCTTGGAACCCACTAGGCTGGAGCATCTCTTAATTGTCTCCAGTGCTAAATGTCATGGTAACAATGGACTGCTACAAGGGGTTAAAGGGCCCGGGTGGCATATGGTCAAGGAACCCGTCCAGAGACCCTGTCTCCCTCCCCAGGCATGCCTGGGAAGAACAGCGTGGCGGCTGCCCTGCGCCAGGCCCCTGGGCAGAACGGCACCAGCTTCCACGGCTGCATCCGGTCCCTGTACATCAACAGCGAGCTGCAGGACTTCCGGAAGGTGCCGATGCAGAGAGGCATCCTGCCGGGCTGTGAGCCCTGCCACCAGAACGTGTGCATCCACGGCACCTGCCTGCCCAGCAGCCGCTCCAGCTTCTCCTGCGAGTGTGAGGAAGGCTGGATTGGGCCCCTGTGCAGCCAGAGGAGCAGCGACCCCTGTCTGGGAAACAAGTAAGTTCAGGATACTGGAGGCTGACACCCACCCTAACTCTTAACCCAATCCTGGGAAGAAGGGGGTTAGGGTTAAGGTTAGGGTTAGGCTTAGGGTTAGGGTTAGGGTTAGGGTTAGGGTTAGGGTTAGGGTTAGGGAAGAAAGCAGCATTAGTGCCAGACCTCTCAAAGGCAGCTAATCATGCTCCTTCCATTTCTTCAAATTGGTTAACTGTCGTAAACACACACACACACACACACACACACACACACACACTGTTGTTGTTGTTATGTGCTATCAAATCACCTGCAGCTCATAGCTACCCTCTCTGTACAACAGCCCTAAACCCTGTTCCGACACACCTGCCCCCATCACCCCAGTCACTGAATCAATCCATCTCATTGAGGGTCTTCCTCTCTTACACTGTCCCTCTACCCTCCCAAGCATGATGTCCCTCTCCAAGGACTGGCCCCTCCTTCCAACATTTCCAAAATATGTCAGATGAATCTTCAGAATCCTTGCCTCCAGGGAGCAGCCCGGAGTCACCCTCTCGAGGATGAACCTGAGGCAAGAAGCTGCACTGCAATCCCAGAGGCGCATGGTTCAAAACCCCCCAGAGGATCTGCTGCACATACATGTACACACACACACACACACACACACACACACACACACACACACACATATAAAACAGTTTCCAGTTGATCATTTTTTGTTCAGTGGCCTTGATTCACTTCAGGTTGTTGTGTGAGCTTATGCATTCTGTTTCTGCAAATGAGCTCTCTGCCAGTCACAGAAACTCAGCACCTCTTTGACATCGATTACTGTTTGCCTTCAGTCAGTCCCAGCTCTGAACAGCCCCACAAGTGGTCGAGCAGAACTGCACTCCATAGTTTTCATAGTTGTCACTTTTCAGAACTGATTGGCAGAACTTTTCTTCCAAAGTGCCCACGGGAGCATTCGAAGTCCAGCCAGTCCTCCAGTGTGACCAGCAAAACATGTGGTACTTCTGTCCCCTCCCAAATTATTCTAAGTGAAGACTGCCTCTCCCCTTCTTTCCCTGTGTCCCCGGCTTACCTCTACTAATCAATAGTCTCTGTGTATTTTTCTGTTTCATAGAAGTAGCATTATGCAGTGTTTATCTGTGGAGGCGAGCTTCACTAGGGAGCTCTGGTGGAGTCGACCACAGGAAGTTGTGCTGTTAAATCCAAAGGCATCGCCTCTCCGTGGGTTCGAATCCACCAGCAACTCCTTGGGCAAACGATTCACAGCCTTCTTCCATGTGATTTTCAGCCCCCAAAACCTGTTGGGGCGTCAGCTATATAAGTCTGTTCCGACTCAGTAGCAATGTGTTGAAACTCACTCGGCATTGCATCCAAGCTTCATCCGTAGTATGGCGTGACTAAGGACTTTGTTTCTCTAAGTCCAGCATGCGTGTGCACCATTTTGCTTCCCAACTCCCATGTGCTAACGGTTCTTTAAGGGAGCTCTTGTGCCTTTAGTTGTAAGGAGTTGCACTGCCAACCCAAAGGCACAATGTCTCCACAGAGGGATGGACAGTCTCCTCCCATGTGATTCATTGCTTCTGCAAACCCGCTAGAGGGGCGGCTATGAATTGGTTTCAACTAAACAGTACATAACAACAACAACAACAACAATGGTAATAGGTTTGTGTGCTGATTCCACCTTCTGGCCATTATGCATTCCTACTCTGGGATTCTGTTCCTTGCAGGTGTGTCCACGGTACCTGCATGCCCATCAATGGCTTCTCCTACAGCTGCCAGTGCCTGGGAGGCTACGGAGGCGTCCTGTGTGACGAAAAGCAGGAGATGCCTAACCCCTGCCAGTCCATCAAATGTAAGCATGGCAAGTGCAGGCTCTCGGGGCTCGGGCAGCCCTATTGCGAATGCAGCAGCGGATACACTGGTGACAGCTGCGATCAGGGTAAGTCGGCCCAGCCGGGTGACTCTCGCTCCTGTAGCAAAGAAGGGGGCAGAGAAGAGAAGAGAGGCAGGAGAGAAGACCGATGCTTGTCATAGATTTCCAGTCACGTGTTCAAACGCACCACACCAAACTAAACCGAACAAACCCTTTGTTAATCCCGTGGGCCATGCTAACTCATGAAAATCTCATGATTGAGCAGAACTGTTCTGTGGAGTATTCTTGGTGGTAATCTTTATGGCAGCAGAACACCAGGCTTCTCTTCCGCAGCATCAGTGAAAAGATTTGAACTACCAATCTTTAGGTTAGTGGTCACATACAAACCAGGACCTCCCTAAAGAAAGCATCAGATATGGAACACTCTAGACCTCAAGGACAGCATATCTATGGTCTAGAAATGTCTTCTCACAATGTTGTTGTTTTTGTTGTTATGTACCATTGAGTTGCCTGCAACTCATAGTGACCTTATGTACAACAGCCCTAAACTCTGCTCTGTCCTGTGCCAATTGCACTATCTCCAACACACCCATCCCAATTACTCCAGTCACTGAATCAATCCACCTCATAGAGGATATCCCACTCCTGCACTGTCCCTCCACCCTTGCAAGCATGATGTCCTTCTCCAAGGACTGGTCCCTCCTTGCAACATGTCCAAAGTATGTAACACGAAGCCTCAGAATCCTTGCCTCCAAGGAGCAGCCTGGTTTAACTCTCTCCAGAATGAACCTGTTCGTTTTCTAACAGTCATGGTATATTCAATATTCTTCTCCAGCACCATAGCTCAAAGACATCAATTCTTCTGTCCTCCCTAGTCAATGTCCAGCTCTCTGATGCATAGCAAGTGATTGCAAAAGCCATGGCCTGTATCAGGCGCTTCTTAGTCTCCAGAGTGACACCATTGCTCTTCAATACTTTGGAGATGTCCCCAACAGCACACTTCCCCATCACCATACATCTTTTCATTTCCTCACAATATAATTGGCTATGAAAACACTCCTTCCACTTCGGTGTCATTAGCCTCAGGAAGTTGCACTGTTGACGCTAAGTCTATGCCTCTCCAGTAGTTCAGATTTACCCACAGCTCCTCAAGAGAAAACCCAAAGGAGGGGTGAGCATAGGTTGGTTCTCACTCCCCAGCAGTGAGCTGGAGGTCCCTCTGCAGGAGCACATTGACTTTACACACATTTTACGCTTGCTCGCTTTTCTCTAAGTATTATTACTTGATCTCCCTGCATAGAGAAGATGGAGCTAAAAAAGGCCCCTTCTGGTTTTCAAAGAAAATTGCCCTTGTTCTGAGAACCAGCTGATTTATCACAGCGAATTCTGCTGGCGAGAGGGATGAAAAGGGGCTCCTTCTCTGCCTCTCCTTTGTCTGCATACTCAGATCTTGCCTGGTCTCTATCTGCCATGTGCACTGTATATATTACAGAGATGGACAAGAGGAATATGCCCAGCGAAGCTCTAAGAGATGTCTCCGTTTGCATGAGTTCATACCTGAGTAATTTATTAAGTTTGTAGAATGCTCCACAGACTGATGAATATTAACCTCCAGGTCCAATAAATTCAGTTCCACACTCTCAGAAATGGCTCCCTGTGGTAAACAAAAAACCAACTGAAACTAGGAGATGTATACTTTTGCCATAAAGGAAAAGATTTAGGAATCCAATTTTCTTGTCAGGGTAATAGCAGCCTATTTATAGACCACCTAGATAACATTCACTTTGCAGGAAATAAAGGCCAAAAAGGGATGTTTTTCAGAGGTCCGCAGGCTCTGCCACCAGCAGATAATATTTGTAATATAAGCATAACCCTAAAAATAGCATTTATGAGCTGGAAGCAAATAGAGCGTCTTCTCAACTGCCTTGTCGGCCACTCTGAGAGATTAATAGCAGCAGTTCTTAAAATGTTTGTGCTTTTTTGGTTGTTGCTCTTTTCTAGAACTCTCTTGTCGAGGAGAACGGGTACGATATCACCACCAAAAGCAACAGGGCTATGCCGCTTGCCAAACCACCAAGAAAGTGTCCCGCCTGGAATGCAAAGGTGTCTGTGCAGGAGGGCAGTGCTGTGGACCTCTGAGGACCAAGAGACGGAAATACTCTTTCGAATGCACTGATGGTTCCTCGTTTGTGGACGAGGTGGAGAAGGTGGTGAAGTGCGGCTGCACAAGGTGCCCCTCCTAGGCAGACGACACCCCAGCCCCGCTGGTCCCTGGAAAAGCTTGTCGACTTTATGGACCTTGTCGGACTAATTGATGCTTCATAGTGGAAATATTTGAAATATATTGTAAAATACAGAACAGACTTATTTTTATTATGAGAATAAAGACTGCTCTCTCTTTTTTTATTTTTTTCCTGCCTTTGACAAAAAAATAAAATAATAAAAAAGAAATGCTTGAACTAAGGCTTCCCCTACGCTGGAGAAGTGTGAAGAAAGATATTATCTGGAGGCATTATTACGGCATGGGAACCATGGTAATACAGATTCATCTTGGTGACATGCTGAAGGCAAACAGAAGCACACCCCCCAGAATTAGATGACCTACTAGCACACTGAGGTGAACCCACCCAGAGCCAAAAGCTCACCTCTGGCCTCATTCCTGTCAAAGCAGTTCCCGACCTCAGGCCAAACACTGGTATGTGAGTAAGATCCGAGGTAGGGCAATGCAACTCCAGAACACAGGTCCAACACGGATGAGGTCTGGTTTGTGCAAACCAGCCTGATGGTCTGGGGTCCATTTGGGAGCAGCAGTGTGAGCACAGATTCCACTTTCATCTTCTTGTTAAATGTCACCACATTAGCAGAAAAAGCACAGAAAAGTGTTCATCTACCATTTTCCAGTATTAATTTTTTTGTAATATAAATGGTAAGGGAGATGATAAAGAACCCATAGATTATTGAGAGATAAATTAGTAATAATATGAATTTTTTTTGTTTCTATGAATTCTAAACATCCCTATACAGTATTCCATTTCGAGGAGAAATATTTATTGTATCAAAGTACCTTGTACTTAACATTTTAGGTCATCTTTTTTGCTGTTTCTCGATGCTTTAATATATATTAATTTATAATTGTCCTGATATTTTTGTACATTTTTAAAATCTAAAAAACAAATCAGGATTGGGGTTTTTTTGCAGTAATACTAACATAGGGTGTTATCTTGGGATATACATATATGTGTTGGTCCATTTGTTGACCTTGGCATCTGACCACTGAGGTCATTGTCCAACTGCACGCAGACAGAGCACCTGCAAAAAATATGTCAAGTCCAAAGGAGTCAAAAGCAATCTGGGGGCAAAAGAGGTCATTGGCCCAAAATAAATGAACCCACCCCCCCTTTACAGCCTGTCCTCACTTTAAAAAAAAAGCAATGGTGTGTAGCAATCAGCACTAGACAGTACACCTTTGACAAATTAATCTTTTCCTTGAAGTTTTTTTGCTCTTTTTGTTGTTGGGGGGAGGGGTTTGGGGATAGGAAAAAAACACTGTAATGAAAAGAACTGTGATTTTTTTTCTCCTTCCAAACAATAAAACTCCTTTATTGCCTTTCTGTTCCCCTGTTAACATGTTTGCTTCTAAATTCCAATGTAGAATTGATAATGATTTATAGCAGACTTGGCTCTTATTAAAATCCCAAGGTACCCTGTAAAGACGCAGATGTTTCTCTCCAACAATGTTTGATTTTTTTTTTACACAGAAAATTAGATGTACATGTGTAATTCCGTGTGCTTTGTCTTTATCCAGACTAATATCAGTTACACTACTGATGTTTGTAAATTAAACAGATACTTACTTCATTAAATAGCCTGGTGGTTTTCTTGGAAACTGGTGTCTTCTTAAGCACTGCTGAGCAACGTGAGGAAGAACAAGCATGAAAGCCTTTGTCTTCTCCAAGCCATAAATCGCCTTGCGATGGTTGTGTAGCCTGTAGGCAATTGCTCAGCTAACAAAGGCGACACAGTCCTCTGGTGGCTTGACTCCACCAGCAACTCTGTGAGAGAAAGACAGGCAGTTTCTTCCTGTGCGATTTACAGCAACCAGAAAGCTCACTGCAGGTCAACTAGGAGTCAGTTCCAACCCTATGGCAATGATTTAGTAGCTATTAACATGACCACATCTGGCAGTGTTGGAGTGAGCATATCACAGATGTGAGGCAACAACCTACCCTTTGCCAGAGGGAGATTTACATATATATGTAAATTTACATTTACATATATATGTAAAATGATTGCTGTTGTTGTTGTTGGTATGTGTGATCGTATGGGAACTCTGGTGGTCTGGTAGAAAGGAGTTGTGCTGTCAACCCAATGGCATATGGTTCGAATTCACCAGCTGCTCCGTGGGAGAAAGATGGACAGTCTCCTCGTGTGTCATTTGCTGCCTCTGAAAACCCACTGAAGAGTCAGCTGTGAGTCGGTTCCAACTCAAAGGCACATAACACACATATTTTTCTCAATTAGCATAATAAATATGATACAGAGAAGGCTAACTAAACCGTCAATGGTGTTGCTGGTTTTATTTTGAGTGGTATCTTTCTACTCAATTGGAAGCAAATGGAAAAAAGAGGAAAGGTAAAGAGTACCTGTCTCCACAGGTGCTCTCGAGCACGGGATAGTAGCATCAAGGTGCGTACATCCTCCAGAAGAGGGCTTAGCATTGGCTGCTTGGATCCAATACCAACATTCATCTACCGCGTAAGAGTACTTGGTGTCCCGAAGAAAGTTGTGTGTGTTCACACACACAGACTTTCTCTCTCTCACACACACATTCACACACACACGTTCACATACACACACGTTCACTCACACACACACACATTCACTCACACACACACACACATTCACTCACACACACACACACTCTTTCACACACACACATTCACACACCCACTCACACACATTCATATACACACACACACTCACATTCACATACACATTCACACACACACACACACACACACTGATATATTAACACTTATTTTCAAAAGTCTTCATTTTCCTTTCTGGACTATGACATCACTGCTGGTAGTTGTCACCCGTTTGATTTCACCTCATGGCAACCCGTGAATGCACAGTAGGACTGCTCCATAACGTCTTCACAGCTTGAAGTTTCCAGAGCCTGTCCTAAACCTGCCTTCTGAGAAACTAAACTTCTGGGTCAATTTGAATGACCATTCTCTCAGCTAGTGGTGAAGGACTGTTTGTTCCACCCGATTGTTAAGTGCCACTGAGTCATCTACAACTCATGGTGTCATTATGAACGGTGGATCTGAACCCTGTTCTATCGTGTGTCATCTTCATGGCCACTAGCACACTCATGAAATGTACTCACCATTACAATCATTGTGTCAATCCATCTCGTTGAGGGTCTTCCCTTCCTTCACTGACCCTCCATCCTTCAAAGCATGATGTCTATTTCCCTGGACTGGCTCCTCTTAAAATATGCCCAAATTATGTGAGACAAATTTTCACAATCCTTGCTTCCAAGGATACTACCCTTGCCTCCATGGAGTAAATATGTCCAGGACACCTATTTGTTCTTTTGACAGTCTATGAGATGGTCAGCTCCCTTTCCCAACACTACTGGTCAAAGATATTAATTCTTTGTCTTTATTCATTGTTCAATTTTAGCTCCATAGCAAATAATTGAAAAGGTTTGGATCAGGTGCACCTCAGTCTTCAATCTTACATCATTGCTCTTCAGCACTTTGGAGAGGTCCCCGACAGCAGACTTTCTCAATGATTTCCTGGCTGCTGGTTCCAAGGCTGTTTGATGGTGGATCTAGGCAAGATGAAATCATTGACACACGGGAGAAGAATGGGCCATCTCCTTTCATTTGGTTTACTGACTCTGAAAACCAGCTAGAGGGCCTGCTATAAGTCAGTCCTGACTCAACAGCACACAACAACAACAAATGATTGTGATTTTGCCTATCGGCCCAGCAGTAAAGACTTTTGTTTTCTTGATATAAAGATACAATCCATATTGAAGGTTAAGTGTTTGAATTTAAATCTTTGCATTTAGGCGGCAAGCGTTTCAAGTCCTCCTTCATTTTCAGACACAAGGTTTCATCTACATAGTATTGTTGATGGTCTCAGATCTCAAGGCTACATTCTTCACATAGTTGAGCTTCTCACCTGTGTTCAGCAGAGAGCCTGCGTAAGTGCGGACTAAAGACTCCCCTTAAACCTACGGCACCATTGTTCGGCACGTTTCACACAGACATCTTAGCTCCAAGAATTCCACCTTCAGACTATCAAACTATTTTCTCAACATGTTGTTGTTATTATGTGCCATCAAGTTAGAACCAACTCATAGCCAACCTTCATGTGGTGTTCAGAGACAGTTTAATTGCACAGGAGGAGATTGACCATCTTTCTCCTGCAGAGCAACTGATGGCTTGGAACGCCATGCCTTTGGGATTGCAGTGCAGCTTCTTACCACAAGGCCACCAGAGCTCCCTATATAAGTAATAATTTATTTACGTTGTTAGGGTCTTTTCCTTCTAAGTGGGTGTCAGAAGGTGGGACTTTCAAGATGAACCGTGGGTCTTTGGCTAACAGTCCACCAGCATGTGGGTGTGCCAGAATTTTTAAATCCTGCAGGGCCTGAGGATGGGGCCTGCTTTTAATTGTTTTTGGTCAAACATTCTTCTAGGTGGTATAGCACTGGTCTGTCAATTTGCTGTACAGAGGTGACTAATGGTTGCTGTTACGCTGAACACTGTGATCCTGATGAGCCAAATGCGATATTGGCGGACAGTATTTGGTGGAGCTTCCTGATTAAAACAAGCTTGAAAGCAGGAGTGGCATCCACTTGCAAAATAGCTTGCTCTTGAAACCCTATGAACTTGGAGAAATGAAGGAAGTTATATAAATGTTCAGGTCTTCTGTTCATAGGGTCGCTATGAGTCGCCTATGACTTGATGGCATTTAACAACAACAACAACAACATTGTTTACCATAGAGTTGGAACCAACCCATAGCAGAGATAGATTCTGCCTTCAAATTATCAAATTAATTTGTCTATATGTAGTTGTTGTGTGCCATCAAGTCAGAACCAACTCATTGCCAACCATTATGCAGAGTCAGTTAATTGCACAAGAGGAAACTGCACATCCTTCTCTAGAGCAGCTGGTGGCCTCAAACCCTGTAGCTTTGGGATTGAAGTGCAGCTTCTTGC